TAGACTATAGACTAGACTATAGACTAGACTATAGACTAGACTATAGACTAGACTATAGACTAGACTATATACTAGTCTATAGTCTATAGATTCGATATAAAAAGTATTAAAGTACTAAATTGTCCATCATGCCTGAATTATACTATGAAATCCAAAAATAATTCGGTACATAATTGTAGGGTTTCATACGATCAACATACCCCAACAAACTTGCATACTTGCTTTTTTGTTGTTCTTGTCTCTGTTATTGGCCATATTTATTTATTTTTATTCATTCGTAGTTTTCATACTTGTCGTATTGTTTCAGCTTTACATACCAATTTCATTTTTGCAATTTTGATTGTGTGACAATTTCTCTATTTTGCTGCTGCTGTTTCGGTTTTTTCTATTTTTTTTAACAGGAAACTATAAAAATGTAAACAAATTCGCTGCCACAATAAGATTGTGTGATTTTTTGGGGGGATATTTTAAGCCGTTTCTAGTTGTTGGGTATTAGTAAAAGTAAATTTTTATAGATTTTTGTGTTTTTTTCTGTGGTCCGTGTATGTAATTTTTAGTATTTACTTATAGTGCTTAGGTTTGATGGTTATTGTCTTTTTTGGATTTCAAACAAAATGTTATAGGTAAAGTAGTAAAATATATGATACATTTATATAAATGGTTTTGTAATCACTAGTTTAAGAGTTAAGTTTTATTTTCTTTATATTGTTGTCACCATAAACTTTAACTTATTAAAGGGTTATAAGGCTTTCAATCACACAGAAGTATCATATAAGCAGAAATAGCTAACAGAAACCAGTTTATCTTGCAGAATATTGCTGTCGGATATAGAATATATAAAATCTGATAAAGAACTCTACTTGATTCTTCTCGTCTGCCATGGTATCGAAATTTTAATTTTTCTGTAATTTTAAGCATTTATTCGGCGGAATTTAAGTGAAGGCCTGGGTTGTTTTCACTGTTATCTATACTATAGCGATGTATTTGTATATTTCGTATTTGTAAAACTTCACTAAACGCCATATGAAAATGTATATATGGGTCCAATTGCAAAATCTTGAGGGAAAATTCACATCAACTTTATTTCAATCTTAAATAAATTAATTAAAAATTAAAATAAACATTTTCGAAATTGTGTGTTAAATACATAAGATTTGTTTTACTTTCAATCGAGTTCACGGCGATAACATCAATGATATAACTTCAAAGATGTATAAAACAGTTATATCTCCAAAGAGGAACCTTTTATAGATGTATATGAACATGATGAACCTTATTATAACAGTCGTGTCTATCAATTCACTGCAACAATTTCATTTAAAAATACCAATCTCAAATTAATAAATATTCCTGATTTAGGAAAAGAGGCCAAGCTCATGTTTTAGAAACCCATTAGAATCCAACGTTTCTAGAAAAATAGTGTAGTAATAAATAATTATGATCTTTAATCCATTGAAATATAATGACAAGAACTTGTTAATTTTTTTCCACAAGTATATCAGAGATCTTTTTAATACTTAAAACTAGAGATTGGATTTTGTTAAAAATTGTTTTTTATCATTGACCTCCGTAAAACCTCTGAAACTCCTTAGATTCTCAAATGTAACATTAATAACAATTTTCCTCTTATGAATAATCAGCTACTAAAGCATAGACCAAATTAGGTTAGGTTAATAAGATGGTGTGACTACATATTATCCGAAGAAATACACATATCGGGCCTGTTATATAGTATTCAATGAATGTATTATCGTCCGATGTTTAAAAACTCAGTTTCCTAGACGTAATTCCTAAGAATATATCCGGAATAATATCAATCCCAAGATATTTGTATCTAATTTCGACGAAAGCCTGACAGTGGCAAAGAAAGTGCTCCAGAGTTTCACTGTTTTCTCTACATGATCTATATTCGTCAGAATCCGAACGTCAAATTTTGTATAGCTGTGCCCGTTATCCTTTATGTCCAACATAATAACCTCAGACTTGCTCATTTTGAGGAGATTTTTCGTACTCCTCTCGCTATTGTCATCCCATGGGATTTTTGTGGTTCTATCCGTTCGTCAGGTTAATTATCTTGAGCTCACTTCCTTTTAAAACTATTACATTCGCTCTTTCTACTGGACTGGTACACATTTGGTGAAACCCTTACCTCTAGGAGAGTATTCGGTTATATCTTTCTTATTATACCGTCTTAGATTTCACTGGTAACGCCTTAATTACCTTCTGGTTGTCGGTAAATATGTTAAGCCCTGTGGGCGCCATATTAATTCCAATCCAATTTTCTCATTTCGTTATTGCTCTGTTTCTAAGTCTTCAATATAGAACCCCAGGCCCACGTTGTCCCCTAATTTAGAGTCATCCATGTAGTAACGGTTTCCTACGGGTATTTGTTTCAATGTAGCGCTTGACCAAGACATTCTATCTGGGATCAGTGTTTTAAAGTTCGCGACATATACTGTGTCTGGTATGAAATGAGGCACGTTCGATGATTGTGATTGATTGATGACGTGTCCTATATGCCGCTTTAAGTTTTGAACCGTTCGGCTATAAGTGCCACCCCTTATATTATATGTTTCAATGGGTGGAATATCTAGCAACGTTTCCAGAGCCATGGCTGACATCCCGCCTCTAAAAGTGCCGGGAAAATACCATCCGGTCCTGCAGCTATATAGGGTACAAAGCTTTTGATTTTCTTCTTAACCATGTCAATACCTATATCTGTGTTGGGTTTCCCTTCCCTTAATATGGGTTTATCCATGGTACCTGTTTCATTCTAATGAACCAAATAGGAACACTAAGAATATAATCTGAACTTTATGAAAATTGCAGAGAATGACTGCTCTTTTTGAAATGATGTTAAAACATGACCATATAATATATATAATACAGTAAAAAGTATACATCTACGTTATGACACTTTTAAAAGTGCCATGAAGTTAATTAAAAACAGTTTTATACTCTTCGTGAGAAAGGTATATTTATAGTTTGTCATTCCATTTGTAATTTCTACAATATAATTTTGCGATCCTATATAGTGTATATATTCTGTATTCTTATAGATAGCGGAGTCGATTAAGCCATGTACGTCTGTCTGTCCGTCTGTGTGTCTATTGCAATCAATTTTCCGAAGACCCCAGATATCTTCTGGATCCAAATCTTCAATAATTTTGGCAGACATGCTTTCGCGAAGTTTCCTATTTGAAATCAGCAAAATCTGTACATAAATAATGGAGATATAAGCTAAAATCCGAGACAACCTTTGAAAATTTCATCAAAAAAGAGAATGTTAGTGCATGCTTTGAAAAAACCAACAACAACAACAGTCTCTTAATAAAAAAGCGTATGTGTGGTTGTATGTTGGTTTTATTGCTTTGCGTATTTTGTTGGTTTTTTGAGTGTTTTGTTTTGTTCGGCGTTAGTTGTTGTTTTATGTTTTGTTATAGCTAAAGTAACTCTACCGTTGCTTGGAAAATATAAAATAAATTGAAATTTTATAAAATTTAACATATTTTAAACACACTATGGTGAAGGGTATATAAGATTCGGCAAAGGCGAATATTGATCTCTTACTCGTTTTATCAAAAAATTGAGTCATAATTTCTCGAGTACTGCTAAACCACCTCTTTTTGAAAGCTTTTTAAAGCCCCTTTCATTCCCTTTAATAAAACAAACTTTTCATATATATTTTTTTGCACAAATGTTTTCATATATTTCTTTTATTTTTTGTTTTTCTTACTAAATTTATATTTGTTGTTTTGTTTTTCTTTTTCTTTTCAATATTAATATAAATTATTTATTTATTACTTTTATATTTAATTATAGATCTTATTAAATATTTGTTTAAATATACACTTAGAAATTAATACAAATGATATAATGTACTTATAGATTTGTTTGTTTTAAACTTATTTTTTACTTTTCTTTAAATTAAATTTATTACTTAAATTTAATTTAGCAATTACATTAAAGACTTAATATATTATTTAAATGATTATGATGTTATATTATAGACAAGAAAATAGTAGAAAAAAAAACAAAAATATAATAAAGAAAATTTCTTAGCAATTTGTTGTTTAAATCTAAGATAAAATAATTAAAGCAATTTAGTTGTAAGGTAAAACTAATAACTATATTAGGAAAAGAAAAATTAATAAAAATAATTTGTTTTTAAGATTAATAATTACTTAATTATGTACAAAAAAGCCGCAAGAAAAATAAAAATTAAAGTATGAAATAGTATCACAATTTTTTATAAAAATTTATTTATTTTAATATTAATATTTTTTATTTTTTTATTTATTTTTTTTTTTTTTTTTTTTTGAGATAAAAATTTGTAATGTTTTATTTATTAGTTGTTTTTTTTTTTTTTCAAATATATACAAAATTATATAAAAAAGGAATTATTTTTTTATTTATTTTTTTGTTTGTTTTTTATTGCACAATTATTTTAATATTTTACAAGTTTTTTTTGTTAATTTTATAATGACTTTAATATATTTTTGTGTTTTTTTTTTAAGATTTGGGAATATTTTTTTTTTTACTGTTTTTGCTCTATTTGTTATAAATTCGAATTTTGATTTTCCTTATGATTTGTGTTTGTATTTTTTTATCTTTTTTTGTTTTTTTTATATTTTTATTATTATTTTTTTTTAAGTAAATAATATTTTAATGAAACGAAATCAGTCTCTTTCTTTAATATTTGTTTAAAGCCGTAAATTTTTCGTTAATATTTATTTTGTTTTCTTTAGGTTCTTTGAAGTTTTTTCGGTGTTTATTGATTTTAACGAAAAATATTTAGCTTTTTCTTTTGGGAAAATTTGTTGTTTTTTCTAAAAAAAAATCTTTGGATTTGTTTCAATAAAATTAGTTTCATGTTGTTGTTGTTGTTGCTGATGATGATTGTTTCAACCATAAAAATATAATAATAATAATGAATTCTTTTAATTTTTTGTTAACAAATTATAATTTTTTATGGTTAAAAAAAAAACGATTTGTTTAAATGTTTTCAATCATTTTCATTATGTGTTTTTTTATATTTTTGCTTCATTCTGTTTGAAATATTTAATTTTTTTATGATTTCTTTTCTTTATTCATTCATCTTATAAATGTTTTGTTTAAAGTTGTTGTTTTTTTTTTATTTATTATTTATACATTTATACATCATTTAATATTTAAAACATTCATCTTCATTAAAGGTGTAGGTAGACTTTTAGCTGTGTTAGTACTTTGTAGTGTTAGTGTTTTGTACAACTAGTATGTGAGCAAAACATAAACTACAGTCTGACAGACAGACGACTTACTATTAGCAGCAAGACACAACGTCATTACAATAACGCAGCAGTCAACCAACCCACTACCCAGCAAACCCTGTGTATTTATATGTTTTGTTTTTGTTGTTACAATCATATTTTCTTTAAAATCACAAAAAGAAACAAAAGTCATCATCTCATCATCATCGTTGTTGCTGTTGTCGTCATCATCATCATCACACACAACGAAAGAGAGTCTGTTTTGTTGTTATTCTTTTTTATCATCGTTATCTGCTTTGTATCAGTGAGATCATTTATACGCGAGTGTTTTAAGTAAAAGTGTATTTGTTTGTTGGTGTATACGCGGAGAGGGGGAGTCAGAGAGAGAGAGCTTTGCAAGGGTTTTCATTACTCTCCTTGTTTTAAACAATATTTATGTTTGTTTTTTAATATTTTATATAAATTTTTTTGTTAAATCTTGTTTTACAGATTTGACTTTGATGAAAAGTTTTATTTTACCCTTTACAGCTTTGGTAACTAGGGGGTGGGGTAAGGGGAGGATATGTTTGGGAACTCTAAAGCAGAGAATGTGTGGTGAAAATAATTTCAATCTTCTTTGCCACCACTCATCTAAAAAGAGACAAGAAAAGAGAAAAATATATCATAAGTAAAGTCATACAAATATAAAGAAATATAAGGAAATGATAATGAGGAAAAGCAAACATAGAAAAAGCTTTCTTAAAATCTAAAGCTTAAGAAAAGCTTTTGCTTAAACTATACTAAACTTGAAAGCTTAATAAAAGTTTATTCAAAGCAGACAAGAGGTAAAAGCTTTTCCAAATTTTTGAAAAAGCTTTTCTAAATTTTTGAAAAGTCTTTTCCAAACTTTTAAAAAAGCTTTTCCAAACTTTTAAATAAGCTTTTCCAAACTTTTGAAAAAGTTTTTTCAAACTTTTGAAAAAGCTTTTCCCAACTTTTAAAAAAGCTTTTTCAAACTTTAAAAAAAACGTTAAAAAAATAAAGTATAAAAAGAAATGTTAAAAAGCTAAAGAAAGCTATGAAAATGATGATAATGGTTTAATTTGGAACACTTACATACTTGACAGCTCTATTTCGGAAAGTTTCCTGTTCCATATCACGAATTTTATGGGTAAGCATGTGTTGTTTTAAGTTACCCTAAAAAGGAAGATAAAGAAATAAACAAAAACAAATTATTAATAGGCTGAAAACTTTCACCTTTTAAGTTCCCAAAATAAAGAACTTAATTTAAAAAAAAACATAATTGCTTAAACTTGAAAAAAGCTTTAATGACAAAACTCACCTTTGTTGTAAAACCACGATCACATATATTACATTTAAATGGTCTCTCTTTAGTATGACTTCTATAATGAATCTCCAAAGCCGAATGGCAGGGGAATGTTTTGAAACAAATGCCGCAAGTAGTGCTGCCTCTGACTCCTAAAAAGATTATAATAAAAACAAAGAAAACATTAGTTATTTTATTAAACAAAAAGTTAAGCAACAAAACTTAAAGCCAGAAAAAATGAAAAGTAAAATAAAAAGCAATAAAAGTTGAAAAAAATAAAAACCATGCACCCAAAAAAATGAAATAAATAACAACAAGAAGCTTGATTTCATTGAATTCTATGTATGTAAAAATTTTCACTCACAACTCACCCGATAGAGCTAAAGGATTAAATGGTGCCGCCGGCATAACAGACTGTGCTATTGAATTCATTGCGGTGCACATGTTTTGCGTGGAAGCCGGTGGAAACAGCGGGAGATTTGGAAACATGCCAAATGGTGGTCTGGCAGCTGCTACCAATGGATTTCCCGCTTGTGGATGGGGCATTTGCGGTGAGCTGGTGGCTGAAGCTTGTCCCGTTGGTGGCTGCTGTGACATCGATGGTGGGGCATTCGGTGAGAGTTGCGCATGTGCAACTGCTTCGCGTCTTAGTTGTTCTTGATGCATGGCTACGACGGCATTATGTTGCATTTGCTGGTGATGTTGAGCGGCAGCCAAGGCTGCTTGCTGTTGCATTAGTTGTTGATGTTGTTGCTGCAAGTGGTGATGCAGGCCGGGTGGTAGACAATCGACAGCAGAAGTTGGTGGCATGACGGCTGAGGGGCTGATTTGTGGTAGTTTTGGAGATTTGCTAACGGGAGAAGGTGAACGTTTGCCGGCATTACTAGGTAGTGGTGAGCGGGCGCTAATGCTGCTATTGGCCGAGGAGGGTCCAGCACGTGGTGTCAAATCTAAAGCTCCTTGTGACATTTCGGAAGCTGATCTGGCTGGTGAAGTAGCGCGTGTAGAACTCAAAGGTTTTGCTGCAGTTGTTGGGCTGGTGGGAGGTGAACTTACTGAATTTGGATTAGAGGTGGCCGACTGAGGTCTGGGGTTTGTATTAACCACTCCAGTAGGATCTATTCTTAGCTTCTGCTCGAACAGCAAACCCTTAAAATCATCAGTTGACTTTGGTCTCTCACTACCCGGTTCCAAATCATTACTATTGGACATATGATCAGAGGACATATCATCGTCAAAGTCATCTCCACAATCCATTTGGTCATCATAGTCACCCTGAGAAGATTCCGAACCCAAGCCATTATGCATACCGTGCATGCCAGGATGCATGCCTGGACCGCCAGGCATGCCAAAGTGGAAAGCGGCGGCAGCAAAAGGATTCATAAAAGCACCTGGCATCATAGATGGTGGAGGATCTCGTATTTCAGCTGCTTGTATTTGTTCGGGTGTCAAATCAGTGGGTTCTCCGGTATGCAGGCGTATGTGTTGTTGCAACACTAAAGCGTTGGAGTATTTCTTATGACACACTGGACACTGATGGAAATTACGCATGGGCGGTCTTATTTTATGCACAGCCATGTGAGTTTTCAAATTACCTTTAGTGGTGAAAGCACGACCGCAAATGCGACACTTGAAAGGTCTCTCGCCGGTATGGGTGCGGTAGTGCATTTGTAGAGCACTTTTGCAGGATAAAACGCGATCACACACCACACATTGATTGGGATCGGTGATTTTCTTATTCTTCATCAATTCCTTCAACTTCATGGTCTCCGAAGAATTCGAAATCTCTATGAAATTCTCCCAGGAATTGTCATTGCTATGGGGTCGAGGCAATAAAGCCATATCATGAGGTTTCATAGGATTAAAGAAGGGAGCACGTGGTATGTGTGCTGGCGATCTTATGGGTGAGTGTCTTTCGGGTGACAATGTTTTGGTAAAGTTCAGGGGGAAACGTTCGGCAAAGAAGTCATCACGATGATGCATAGATGGTGGCAGCTGTCCTGGTGTGGGCAGATGATCCAAATGATGTTGAGAACCCGGTGAAGGTTGTGGATGTAAAATGGCAGGTGGTTGTATGGGTTGTACTACCGGCGGTAATTGTTGTGTGGTGGGTGGTTTTGAGGTGGGTACAGGCGGGCTATTAGGTACTTGGGGTAGGGAACTCATTAACGAAGGTGAGTGTGTAGAAATGGCGGGACTGACTGTGGCTGGTGCTGGTAGGGGACTGTGTACTCTATCTTCTTCCATATCATCTTGTACTATTTCACAATCATCTTTCTCTTCTTTGATCTTAATATCCAAGGGAGTAGGAGTTGATGTTTTGGGTGCTTCTACTATGGTGTCTGGTTTGGTGGCCATTTGTTCTGGTTCCTCTTCCTCCTTTTCCTCGCAGATCTCTGACTTTATTTGTGTGTTGACAGGAGAACTGGGCTCTGAGGTTTTACTCAAATCCGTGGGAATTTCCTGATTTTTATTCAAAACAGCTTGGGCTGCTGCTTGAGCTTGTACAGCTGCTTCACCCAAATTACCAGGAACCTGAGGGAAGAAAGGATTGCTGAATCCAGCGGCACCGGATGAAGCTGACAATGACTTCAATATGTCCATGGGCGGTCTGTAGAGATTAGCCAATCCTGGAAAATTGTTAGAAGCTCCTGGGAAATTCATGGCTGGCATTTGACTGGGCATTTGTTGTGGCATGGCGGCAGGTGTATGGCTGGGTGAACTATCCGGTGACATTTGATCCAACAGAGGAGGATGGAATTTATCCAAATGCTCTGGTATAGGGGTGGCATTCATAGGTACATGAGGGAATTTGTGGGCATGTCTTTGGAAGTGCACTTTCAAATTTCCTTTGGTGGTAAATCTGCTGCCGCAAACATTGCACTTGAAGGGACGTTCGCCCGTATGAGATCTTATGTGAATCTGTAAGGCAGAATCTGAACCAAAGACTTTGCCACAATAGCGACATCTGTGCTTAAAGAAAGGTTCATTGCCGGCCTTGCCATTTTTCTCTTTGAAAGCAAATTCATCAGCCATGTTGTTGGCTAAAATACCCTGAGAAGCTGAATCCAATACCTCTTGAGCTCTTTTCTGCAGCAAGTCCAAGGAGTTGGGTTCTGGCATATCATCGTGATGAGTTATAATGGAGGAGGCTAAATTTGAGCCAAAAGGCAAGGGCCTGTTTTCCATATCCTTAAGTTTATCCAAAGCATATTCTGAGCTTTTGTCAACACTAATGCGTCGTGAGGCAGAAACATCCATGTCTTCAGGGTTTTCGCTATCACGTTTTCTTTTAAGTGAATCTAAAGGAACACCAGCATTTATTAAATGCTGTCTAGCCTTGTCTTCAGCCATGCGGGCTTCAGCTTTTTGTCTCAATTCCATTTGAGCTATACGCTCTTCCTCCTCATAGGTGTCCTCCTCACCATTCTCACCCTCTTCTTCTTCCTCTTCATCCATTTCATTGGTTTCCTCTCCCGTTTTGGGTTGATTCATGGCCAGTTGCGACTGCAACTGTTGTATGAGTTGAATTTGGAATAGTTGCTGTTGCTGCAGATTGAATAGAGTCTGTTGCAGGAATGCCAATTGTTTCATAGCAGCCTCATTATCTTGCCCTGAAGCACCATTGGCAATAGTTTTGGCAGCCACTTGGGCTATGGCCAATTGCATATTCTTAATGGCTTCAATATTAACAGGAGCAGCACCAAATTGTTGGGCTAAAGCGGCAGGCATTGAGGGTGAAGTGGATTCGGCTACCTCCATTTCAACATCTTTGTTTACAGCTTTCTCTGTACTAAGTGAGGCAGCAGCTTCTTCCATTTCTTGTGCTGGAGCCACTTTATTTTGCTCTTGTTCTGTGCTATCATCCTTGTTGGCAGGATTTTCCAATTTACCCGTGGTTAAGCACATGTTTTCCTTTTCTTCCTCTTGCGGTGTAGATGTTTCGCTTTCTTTAGCTTCTTCGCTGGCCTCTTGAGCTTTTCTTAAGGGTTCTTGACTCTCGTTGAGATCGGGTGGTGTGGGCGAGGGAAATTCTTGATCTTTTGGATATGTTTTAGAGGGGGTTAAAGCCGAATTTAATTCTTCTGTTGTTGTCGAGGGAGATTGTATCTTTAACTCCTGCTGCTGCTGTTGTTCTTCCAACGGCATTACTATGTTATTATTATGATTAAGATCTTCTTCTCCTGTTATTGAGCCTGCTGCTGCAGTAGTCTCTTGCTGTTGTTGTTTATCGGCGGGTGTTGCTGTGTTAATTTTATTAACATGTTCATTACTAGTGGCCATATGAGTTAATTCTGCTCTATCGCAATCACTATCTTCATTGGCGGTTGTGGCTGCCAAAGGTGAACATGTACCATTCTCCTCATGATCACTGGCTGAATCTATAAGAGAAAAAAAAAACGTTGCAAAAATGAAAAGAAATAGAAAAAGAGTAGAGTTAATTATTGTTGTTCGTGTAGTAAAAATAAACAAATTTTTCTCATGATTTTGCATGTCAATAACTTGTTTTTTCTATTTTTTTAAATTATTATTAAACAGCAACAACAACAACAACATTTTTCACACAATTCATACTAATTTTTCATCTATTCTGTAAGTCTTAAACAAAATTTTGCCTTTTTGTGTTATTTTAATGCAATTATTACTGGAAAACATTCTTACTTGTGGCAATAGTTTAGCTCCTTGTGTGGAGCCTTAGCCTAGGTTGCAGCTCGTTAATAAACTTGTCCCTATAAGAAGTTTTGCTTCCCAGTTTCCCTGTTTGCTGGTTTCTGTGCCGTTTTACACCTGTGTGTTTTACACTGTTAGCCGTGCAGGCAAGTTGTACTAGGTATCATTGTAACGCAGAGCAAGTGTTTTAACATTCCACATCCAAAGCAAAAACAACCTGCTTTCTTTGCTTTGGTTTTGTAATCTTATAAAAACAATCTTTACTACTCGCCTAGTTGGAGGAAAACATTGCTTTTTTGTTGGCTTTTCATCTTGGTTGGGTTTTTTTTCTACTACTACTACTTCTTCTTCTTCTTTTACTCTCGTCTCTCTGTGTTATTGTTGTTTTTGTTTTAGACTATTGGCATATGACTTAATCGTTTGAGGCTTTTTTGGTTTGGTTTTGTTGCCTGCATTTCTATACACACATGTTGCATTGCTGGCTGCCACATGTAGCATGTTTGTATATGTTTGCTACTATCATGAGTATTTCTGTATTGTTTTTATATATTGACGCTTAATGTAACAATTAGTTTTTTAGAAATGAAAAAACGTAAGATTTTTGCTTTTGTTAATAGAAAAATTTGTAGATTTTTCGCACTTTTACTGATGGCTAAATAGCAATTGAGTCATGATACTTTAAAGAAAACTAAATAAAGTTAAAAAAAAGAAAATATATATGTGTTGAAACGTTGTAACCTTGTTGTTAAGATATTGAAAAAAAAAAAATTAACTTTTTATTTAAAACTAAAGCCTAAAGTATTACACTAACATTGTCCATCTAACTGTATATGTATTACATGTCGAGTGTTATTCTGTTTCATTACGAAATTTCCATTTTATACATTTTAATGTCAATTTCAGTGTTTTTTTTTTTTTTGCATAAATTTGATTTTTCAACCAATTTTCGTTTTAGGGTTTATGAAATTTTCATATCACTTGAAATAAATTTGATGAATTTTATATATTTATTTTTTGTTGTTGCTTCTTTAATTTGCATAAATTTTGTTATTTTGGTTTTATTCTGTATAGCTCGTACATTTTATCAAATATTTATACACCATGTGTTCACAAAGTATTTTTTTACATATATTTTTTTGAATTTTTTATTTATATATTTCAAAAAAAAAACAGAAATACATTTTATTGGGGTTATCATACAAAAATGCAAACAACCCCACAACTTTAGCAGCAAAAAAAAAAAAATACTAAAATATACGATATAGTAAAGGTTTATTGTTTTTATAATATATTTGAACCTATAGGCCAATCGGTCTATGAATAATTTAATTTAAAAAACAATTGAAATTGTATTAATTTTCAATTTCTATAAAAAATATACAGATAAAGACAAAGTATTACAAAATTAAAACCATATAAAAAATTGCTTAATATTATTTATTTCGTTAGGTTAACATTTTATAACTAAAAGTCTTAATTAATTTTTGTAATTTTATGTAAAAAAATATCATTAAAATACTTTAATTATGTTACTAGAAGTCAAACAACTTTTAAGCTTGCGCGTGTAAAGCTTTAATTTATATTAAGCTTAAAAGCTTTATAACAATATTATTTGAATTATGCCTAGAATGCTTTAAATTCAAGAGCAAGAGCTTTAGCTTAATACCGAGAAAGATTTTAAGTTAAAAAGTCCCAAAATTGTAAAGCTTTAGTTTATATTAAGCTTTAAAGCTTTAGGAAACTGCTTATTGTATTATGCCTAGAAAACAACATTCAATAGAAAAAGCTTTAGCTTAATACGGAGAAAGATTTAAAGTTAAAAAGCTCCCAAAGTGTAAAGCTTTAGTTTATATTAAGCTTAAAAGCTTTAGAAAACTGTTATTTGAATTACTGTTATTTGAATTATGCCAAGAAAGCAATATTCAAGAGCTTTAGCTTAATACAGACAAAGATTTTAAGTTAAAAAGCCCCCAAAGTGTAAAGCTTTAGTTTATATTAAGCTTAAAAGCTTTAAGAAACTATTGTTTGAATTATGACTAGAAAGCAACATTCAAGAGCAAAAGCTTTAGCTTAATACAAAGATTTTAAGTTAAAAAGCTTGCACAAAAGGACACTTAAGCAAAAAAGCTTTTTAAGCCCTTAACTAAATGAAACATACAATAAAACAAGTTTTTCTTTTAGTTAGAATAAGAGAAGAAGAAATATTTAAAATTATATACAAAAATTTCATAAATTAAAGCTTTTTTTAACAAAAAGTTATATGATCTTTAGAAATTTATGATTGAAAATTAGTTTTTAATTTTATGTAAAAGAAATAACATAAAAAGACTGTTACTAAAAGTCAAAGACCTTTTAAGCAGAAGAGTGTAAAGCGTTAGTTTATATTAAGCTTAAAAGCTTTATAACAATTATGCCTAGAAAGCAACATTCAAAAGCAAGAGCTTTAGCTTAATACCGAGAATAAAAAATATATCAAAATTTAAAATAATTTTTTCAAAAAGTTCTAAGATTTTTAGAAATTTATGTTTGATTGAAAATTTATTTCAAGTTTTTTGTTTATCTCTACAACTTAAATATTTAATCTACTTTTTATATTTATTTTCTTCTTCGGTAAAGTTCATAATTTAAGTGGATTATCATTGACAAAAAATCTTCTTCTCTAAACATAAATTTTTAACTAATTTTTTTAATGCATAACATAAATATTTATTAATTTTTTTTGCTGTTTCTCTTTTTAAAATATATAATATTTTTTTAATTACAACTACAACAACAAACACACAAAAATATGAACGATAAAATCATTAAAACATATTTTAAAAGCTTAAGAGAAGAAAAAACACGCTGGTTTTTTTTTCTTAATCAAATGTGAACTCATTTGTCAAAATGTGGCTAAACACAAAAATTAATAAAAAAACGTGATTTATAAACTTAAAACAAAAAACTAAGACAAAATTTAAACAAAAAGATATATATAAAATTTAAAAAAAAAAATATTATAAATAGCTAATCAAGCTAATATACTTAAGAAAAATGTTTGGTTGTTTCAAAAAGATAAAAATTATATATAAATAATATTTTCATAATATAGTATATGAAAGACAAAATAAAAAAAAAATAAAAAAACAATAACAAAGAAGCAGCTTCCGTTAATGTTTGAAAATATTAAAATTATTTCAAAAATATATATATATATTTAAAATATAAAACAAAAAAACCAGTTTCTAGCGTCAATCATTTTTTTTTTAATTTTCTATAAGAAAAACACAACCCAAGTAACAAGAAAATTAACTTAAATAAACAGTTGTTTAGTTGCCATAACCAAATAATAGTAGGCACAACTAAAACTAAGGCTTATTTCAAAGCTTTTGATGATTAGTTGTTTGTAACAAAATAAAAAGCTTTTTTTACTATATAAATGCCACTTTCTTAAGCTTAATTGTCCCTAAACTCTTGGACAGTATTAAAAATTTTATAAAAATCATTTATTGGGTTATTTTGGTTATGTTAATTTATAATATTAATTTGTTTCTTTTATTTTTTTTTTTTTTTTTCTTAAAAATTTATCTTTTATTTAATACAATTTTACATATATGGTGTATGTGTATTTTTGTTAAAAAATTTTGCATAAATTTATGCCCACTTATGAGGGCTATTTGATTATGATTTAAATGTTGTATATATTTCTTTATAAAACTATATTTTTTTTTATAGATTTTTTTTTTCAATCAAAAAAAAAATTAATTTAAAAATGCCAAATAAACTGGATTTGTATCTATATCATATTATATGATATTTGTGGCTCCATTAAGGAAATTAAAAGCCATAAATGAGGGCAGTTAAAATAATAACAAAAATTTGATTATTATAACAAAAAAAATCAATAATAATAAATTATAAAAAAATAATTAATAAAAAGGAGACAGAATTTCATTAAAAAAATAATTATAAATATTATAAAGCCTTTTAAAAGCTTTAAGAAAGTATAGATGAGAAACAAGTAAAGTTCTGATGCTATAAAAATTTTGTTTAAGCAACTGTTTTATTTCAATTTATCCAGCAAGAAAGCTTTAGATTAGTTTTATCCACAAAACTTTATAATGACAACAAAAACTTCTAGAATACCGAACTTTTTGTTCGGCAAGAAAAGCTTTAAGTTTAGTTGTAAACACAAAACAAAGATTTTGAGGCAAGAAAAGCTTTAAGATAAGTTAACCGTACAAAAAATTGTTAGTGTAACTAAAAAACGTTGTAGTTGAAGGCAAAACTTTACAAATATTAAGCCAAAAAGCTTTAAGTTTAGTTAAGTATATAAAACAGTATCTGTCAACTGAAAACTTGTAGAATATATCACTTTTTTATCATTATCAGTAGAGTTAGAGAAAAAGCTTAAAGATTAATTAACTTTACAAAGTTTTGTATTAACAACTAAAAACTTCAACAATAAAAAAGCTTTTATTTTAAGTAGAAGAATAAAATGTGAAAAAAGCTTTGAGATTAGTTACTACAACAAAAAATTTATTATAACAATTAAAAGCTTTAACCATAACATGCTTTTTATAACTAACCAGAGCAATTTGAAGTAAAAATAAAGCTTTAAACTTAGATGGCAACTAAAAACTTGCAAAATATACAACTTTTTGATCATTTGCAGGAGAATTTGGAGAGAAAAGCTTTAAGATTAGTTAACTTTACAAAGTTTAATATTAACAACTAAAAACTTGAACAATAAAAAAGCTTTAATTTTAAGTAGAAGAATAAGAAGCCAAAAAAGCTTTGAAATTAGTTACTACAACAAAAAATTTGTTATAGCAACTAAAAGCTATAACCATAACAAGCTTTTTATAACTAACTAGAGAAATTTAAAGTAAAAAAAAGCTTTAAATTTAGATGTCTACCAAAAACTTGAACAACTAAAAACTTTAACTAACCAGAGCAATTTGAAGTAAAAATAAAGCTTTAAACTTAGTTGACTGTACAAAACTTTGTGCTACAACTGATTACTTCAAACAAATCAAGTTAATTTTTTATAGCTTTACACAAACTTCAAAGGTTTATTATAAAATTTATTAATGTAATTAAAGTAAATATACAAAATTTTAAACAATAAACTCCCAGTAATTTATAAAAATTAATCATAAAAATTTATTTGTTTTTTTGGTTTAAATTTCCGCTTAAACAGAAAGTATTTTGATAATTATAATTTTAAAAAAACACTCCCTTTTTAAAAATATTTTATTAATTAAGTTAATTTATGGCAAATTTTATTATTATTAAAAATTATTTTTTAATACTTTTAAAGCTTTCTAGATGAAATAACAATTGATTTGAGTAAATTTAAAAAAGCATATTTGAAACCATAATTAAATAAAGCTGCCAAAATAATGTCAACTTTTACAACTTAATCTTAAAGTAAAGACCAAAAACCAGTAACTTTTTTTTAACAAAAAATTGGAACGTGAGAGAAAAAAATAACATAAATTAACCTCAACAAAAGCTAACAAACAAAAAAAAACTGTTACTCTCAATAATTTCTTTTATTTATTAAGACAAAAAAAACAAATTCTGTTTATACTTTATTTTGTGCTAAAATAAATTTATATTAATTAATTATTTGTGAAAGATTTTGACTTGCTCTATCAAATTCCCATAATTTGTTTAAATAAGTATTAATTTAATATGCATTAATGTTTAAATAAAATATATATTAACAACAAAAAAGAAAAAACAACAGATGATGTTTTTTTTTGAGAAGATCACTTGTAGTCTTGTTTTAATTTCATAATTCAATCATGATTATGTGTTTATTGACACTTGGATGACTGTTTTTGTCGTTCAAAAAACAATACCGACAATGTGTGTTTGATTTTAGAGTTTTTTTTCTTAATAAAATATATAATTTATTTTATTAATAAAGTTAAGCAATAATATAATAAATTTCAAATTAACATGATTTTTTTTTTGAAAGCTTAAAGGAGGGGAAGGGGGAGTTTAATAATACAAATTAAAGATTTTGACATTTTAAGGAGTTTATAAGAGTTTTTAAACAAAAATATAGAAAAATTAGTTGAGTTTTAGTTGCTACAACAGTATTTTAATTAAAGCAAACTATTGTGCAATTAAATCGTTTGTGCTGCTAAGCTAGTACAGCTAACAAACCGGTTTATATGTTAAAGCTTTTATCAATTAATGCTAACCAACTGTTTTCTGAGTTAAAGCTTTTATCAAGCTTTAACTAATAGTTGTGTTTAGTTAGTTGTGGCAATTAAATTTTGGGTTTTACACTAAACATTTTGCTGGGTTGTTTTTTTAACAAAAATATTCTAATAAAATTTTTAAAATTTCATTTATAATAAGTATATTTTTTTGCTATTTGCTTTTGGTTGATTTTAACATATTAATAATTTAAATTTAAATATTGTTTATCATAAATAATAAATTAAACATTTTAAAGCCATAGGGGGTCGGTGGTCTTCTTTATTTAAGTGTCTTTCTTTATTATAGAAATATTAAATAAAAATTTTGGCAGTAATACCTATACAAAAAAAATATTAAGTTTAAAATATTATCCAGAAAAATAAGAACACTTTTTTTAAAAAGAAAATCTTTTAAGCAAAATTTTTTTTCAAACAAAAATAATTTGTTTAAAATGTTAATTCATAAGATAAGATTTATTTGAAATTAACTTTATTAATATTAATCTTTGCTGGTGACTCTTTAAGACCCACACCAGAAACTGGTTGTACCTGTTTTAGTTTTTTTTTTTAATTTTATTTCAGTTTTTTTTTTTCGATTTGTTTATGATTTTTATAAAACAAAAATTTATGTTTTATGGCTTTTTCATTAAGAAAAGAAATACAAACAAAGAAAAAATTGTTTAATAAAATAATATTTAAGCTTAGAGTTGTTTTTATTATTATTTAAAAATATATAAAATAATAAATTAGTTTTTAGTTGTCTCATTTTTGCTGATTTTATAAAGTATAATTAAATTATAGGGAGTTATTAAAGCAACAACAAAAAACTGGTTTAACATTTTTTGAAAGTTGATCCTTTAAATCATAACGAAAATCTAATTTTTAATAAAATTTATTTAAAAGTTATTTTTTCCACAAGAAAATTAATTTAACTTTTGTTTTAAAAGCTTTACTTTAAGTTTAATAGTTATTGTAACCATAATATGTTAAAAACAAACAAATAAGTTGTTTGCTAATAACAACTTAAGACAATCTTTGTCATGGCTAAACTTAGACTTAATTGTTTAAAACAACCATAATTTTTATTAATAAATTTGTTAGAAATTTAAAACTTTGAAATGAAATTGAAATTTCTTTAAAATTTTCTATACACAAATCTCTGTAAAATTTCTATAAATTGAAAAACTTTTGTTAGATATAACAAGTTGCCTTTACAAGACCTTTGGGAGTTTAAGTTTTTGAAAATTTTATGATTATTTTCAAATTTTCTTTAAAATTCCTTTAATAGTTTAAAATTCTAACAAAAGAAATATGAAATTATGTTGTTTAAGACTCTAGAGATTTGTTACTGTTTGATGATCAAATCATAATTTTTATTTCAAAACTTTTAACATTAAAAAACACTCCAGGGAATTTGTAATTGGTGATAATGAAATGAAATGGCAATTAAAATAGTTTTAACATAAAATCATAATTTTTTAAAATTTTATCAAAATTAAAAGTAATTTTATTAAAATAATAAAAATATTTTGAATTTTTTTATGATTTTCAGGTATAAAAAGCTTTATATCTTTTAAGTTTATGGATAAAAGCATAAAATTTTTACAGAATTTAAAAGTTAACACCATAATCTATGAAATTTTACGCTTAATATTATAGTTTTTAATTACAGTTTGAATTTGAAACATTTGTTTCATTTGATTAAATAATAAAATTTTTTTTTAAAAATATTTTCTTTTAAAAAAATCTTAATATTTTTAATAAATTCAAAAGTTTAGATGTTAAACTATTAAAAACAGAAAATCTTAAAGAAATTTGTTAAAATATTATATTTTTAAAAAATTTCTAAAACTAACTATTTTATTGATAAAAGAGAAAAAACTTTTTATACAAAACTTTTGAAAGAATAGCTTTTTAATTTTGAAAGAGAAACGGTAAATAATTAGGAAATTCTTTTTAAAAAATATTTAAAAATTTTAAGTGAAAATTTTTTTTAAAATTTTCAAAATTTTTGAATTTTTTAAAAATTTTATAAATAATTGTTTGTGTTTAAGCTCGAAGATATGTTTTCTAAAAAAACGTAGTACAAATTGCGAGTTTTAAAATGTTGTTGTTGGAATCATAAAAAAAAATAATTTTATTAAATTTTTTTTTTTTTTTTTGGAAAAAAAAACTCACCTTTTTCAGTGCTTTTAGCACGATCTTTTAATTGTTTAACAATTCCATATTTGACAGTACCAAATTGTATCATTTTATTAATGGTTTCTTGATGGGTTTCCTTAAAATCACTTCTCATTTCACACAAAACAGTTGATAAAATATTTTTCATTAGAGAAGATACACGAAATTAAGCAACAAAAATAAAAACTTTTCAAAACTTTAAAAAGCTTTTTTTTAAAGCGCGGTAAATTAAACTTATTGTTAAACACACGCCTTAACTATTGTTGTTTTCAAAATATTTTTAAACTATTTTTTTGTTATTAAACTTAAAACATGTTTGTGTTTTTGTTAAAGAATTAAATTCTTTTTTTCTTTAAATAATTTCTTTAATAAAATTAGTTTTTGTTTAATTAACTGTCATTATTTTTTCATAATTTTTAATATATGACATATATTTTGTTTATTTATTATTATGTTTATGATTGTTGACACTTATTAATTTGTTAAAAAAAAATATCCTTTTTTATACAGAGAGAGGAGCAGATTTTTTTGATATGATGTTGTGTTTTGATGATGAAGTTTGAATGATGTTTTATAGTTGTTGGGTTTGTCTTTTTTAGGTTTGGTTTCAAAAAAAAAATATATATTTTCACCAGATTGTTGATGTTTTCATCATAACATTTTGTTGTTGTTGTTGCTGCTGTATTAATAATTATCAATATCTATATAATTGAGTATAAATATATAGAACTATAGACGTTGTTGTTATAGTGGGTTTGTGTAGAAAAAGTAGGGAGGGAGAGCCTATTACTACTCTATAAGTTAAACTCTCATTTCATTTTGTTGTATTACGCACTTTTTCTTCTTTTTTGGGTTACAAAATTTACACTCATCTCACTCTCCGAGATGTTTTTTGTTTTAACAGTTTGTATAAAATTGTTTTGTATTTTTTTGTTAAATTTTGTAAATAAATTCTTATGCCGACGGCTTTTTTTCTTTTGTTATAAATAATTTTCTTTTTAAGTTTGTTTTAACTTGTTTTTTTTAATTTATAATTAATAATTTTTTTTATATAAATATTTATTTGTGTTTACGTTTGTTATAAACCGTTTCGTGCTAAACGTTTTTTTTTTCTTTAATTTCAAATTTCTTAACTTATAAAAATTTCGTCTTTTGTTTTGTTTTTCTTGTTTTGTAGTTTTACTCGCTTGTGTTTTAATAATGATACGTTCAGCACGCGCGTCAAACTTACACTGACTTCACAAATAATAACAGCCCAACCAAAAAGTCACTCAAACAATTCTTTACGTTTATATTTTTGTGTTTTCGTTTTTAGGTTTATTATTGAAAAACACACCACCACCAACTTAAATGCGTACTCATACCCATACGGCTCTTCATAATATTAACAACAACAACACGCATACATAAATATCCAACAGCAACAACAACAAAAACAAGTTATCATTTTAAATATGAAACATCCCTTCAAACATTTAAAAGAGAAAACTATTGCGCATCACCCCAGACGCCACGTCAGAAACACTTCTGGACGATTGTCAGACGAGAACGCACATTTTACAAAAACAAAATACATTGATTTCGAATTTTCGTCTTGTAGAAATATACTTTTAAGTTACTTCCGGATGATAGTTAGAAGAGTGCATCCATTTTGCTTAAACAAAAAACCATGTCTGTTGAATTTTTTTCATCTGGAAGTATACGTTTTAGTGACTTCTGTATGAGAGTTGGGTGAGAACACACATTTTACAATAACAAAATACATTGTTTCCTAATTTGTATCTTCTTGATTTGTATGTTTATGTCACTTCTGGAAGACAGTTTGAAGAGTGTTCACATTAATGTTGTATTTTATTCATCTGGAAGTGTGGATTGTAGTCACTTCTGTACAATTGTCAGACGAGAGCACACATTTTACAAAAACAAAATACATTGATTTCTAGTATTCGCCGTCTGGAAGTATACTTTTAGGTTACTTCCGGATGATAGTAAGAAGAGTACAAAAACAAAAAAATATAAATACTCCATTTTTTAGCGTGAAAAAAAAAATAAAAATAAATAATGCAGAAATTTTGCTAAGTTCAGTGATGTTTTGTGTTTTGTTCAGTCATGTTGAGTTTTAATTATTCATCGTAAAACTTAAATGAGTTATTGAATTTAATGTTCATAGAAAAATAGTGTAATTAAAATATTGTGAATCTTAAGTAATAAAAAACAATATGACAGTGTTGTGTTAAAAATCAACTGTTAATAAACATTTAAGAAGGTTTTCTCAATTGGCGGAGTGTAATAAGTATATACCAAAAAGTATAAGGAAGGATTATATAAATAAAATTAAAAAGTAAGTTGTCATATTAAAATACTATTTTAGGAATATGTTAACAACTCTAAACGGCTTCCATTATGTTTAAAAAAGTCTAATATGTTTAATTAAAAATTTTTTTATATTAAATTTCGACTCTCTCTTAATTCGTTTAGGAGGTATAAGCATTTAAAGACTTTTTCAAGTTGTACATTTCGGCTTTCATTTGATGAACATTGCATTTTTAACATATTTAGATTTATTTGAGTTAAATCTTAACTTTCAATATTTTTAAAACTATTTGCGCATTTAGGTCTGGAATCATTATATTGAAATTAATACTACTGTTTTATACATAAATTATTTTTTGACTTGGGTCACTCGACACGAAATTGCCCATATAAGATATTTAATATTGAAATCAGATAGTTTTAAACCCACCTTTTTTAAATAAATACAATTTTATTAATTTTCATATAGCTTTGGATTTAATTATTCTAATTATAGGTACTTTTTTAGTTATTAACACCAGGTCTTTCTATGACCTATCATATGATACTAATATTCTTAATATTTAGCATGCCGTTCCCAAGATATTGAACCTAAGTATTAGAAGAGAGCAAACAAAAAATAGTATTGCAATATTAGTGTCAAAAGCAATATCCCGTTTAGGGTCGTTAAGGTGTTTCTATCGTTAGTGACTGTAAATAATTTAAAAAATAATCCATGACTTAGTAATTTCAGATCTTTATAGACGGTTTAATTTCAAGTTATTGAAAAAATGTTCATGAAAGGTAATGTTTTTATTGATTCAAAACAATAAATAAATAAATTAATTAATATTTAATTATTTTATTTTTTAGAAAGCAGTAGCTAATATTGTACCCCCTATTAAAATACTTCTAACCGAATTAAAATATAAAAAAGGGATCTGGTAAGTTATATATGTCTTATTTCATCACGTGGTTCCATTAAAAATGTCGATTATTTGCAGAAAATGTAAAAAATGGATCTGACCGTTTAAACTTTGGTGGTAAATGTATTGGACATGAGAGAATCCTATTTTTATTGCTTCCTAAAGTATAACTGGTAATTTCAATAAATATTCAATATTAATTATAAGATTATTTTGGTTTATTTCGTTGAAGGATTAATGCGTTCCATAATATAACTCTTACAATTCGATGGATTAATCATAAAATTGATGAAGAACTACAAAAATATTTTAGAGTCCAACGTTTTACAATTTTTGGAAGTATACCAGTCAGCAGTTGGAATATTAATACAGATTATCTTATTATAAGGTAATAATTCTAAATTTTTGATACATATGTACATTAGACCGACTCACTATGTATGGAAAGCAAAAACGTGTTTTTGTTACCCCTCCCAAAATTTACCTTGCTTTGTTTTATGATGATTCCCAAAATATTTTAAGTGACCGCTGGACCAAATTAAAAAAAGGTATTTTGGAATTATTTTTTTTTAAATTTTTGTTTGTTTTGAAACAAAATATCCAATACGGGGTATCGTTTAAAAGGTATTTTAAAGTCGCGTCCAATGATGTATTAATCATAAATAACCGTTTGCTTATAATTGTCATATTCCAAAATATTTAAAATTGTTAGGTTTTTACTAAGAAAAATGAAATATATGCACAATTTTGCAAATTTTGCGCACCACTAGACTTGGCTTCAAAAAACCTTTCAAATGATACCACATACTGTATATATTGTTTAAGAAATGCTGTATAATTTAAAACAAAATAACTAAAAAGGGACTTTTTTGTAACCGGTTCAGCTCACGAACGGCCATTGATAGACTAGAAATATTTTGGGAACCATTATAAAACATAACAAAGATTTTTTGAAGCTGGATAAAATATTGAATTTAACATGAAGAATCGTGTTCCCATACGATATTTTCTTTAAAACTGTCCAGCTCACGAATGGACAACACTTAACCGAAAATATTTTGGGTAACATCTTATTACATAACAGCGAATATTATGAGGGGGGTAACTCAAGCACCATTTTTTGTGAGTCGGTCTAATGTACATATATTATTTTTTTTAGATTAGTTGTTAAATCAATTATATTTTCTACTATTTTAATTTCAATTAATTCAATAAAAACTGTAAAATTTCATTTTATTTAGATTTATTTTTATAGATTTTATTTTGGTGAGTATACAAATAGAAAAAGAGAAAACTCATCTTCTAGAAGACGAGAATACTCATCTTCTAGAAGAAGAGAATATTCATCTTCAAGAAGAAGAGAATACTCTTCTTCTGGAAGAAGAGAAAACTCATCTTCTAGAAGAAGAGAAAACTCAACTTCTAGAAGATAAGATAGGAACACTTCTAGAGGATACTAGGTAGTCACTTCAAGAAGTGACTTCCTAGTCACATCTAGAAGAGTCTTTGGCAACACCTTACTTCCGAGAGTCATCTAGAAGTTTCTTCTGCGGGTCTTCCAGAAGTATCTTCCAAGTTACTCTTAGACGTTCCCCAGCTCGGCATCAGTTCTTCCCGACTGGTGACAAGAATTCTTATACTTCCGCAACATCGCTGGCGAGCTTTTAGCACGTTTGGAAGTTTCACACGGGTAACTTCCGCAATAGAAAATGTTTGTAGGGATATATCAACATTAATTTTTATTCTTTCTCTCTTTTTTTCTTTTGCCATTTTTAAATGGCCAAAAAAAACACAACACAGACTACAGCTCAGCAGCAGCACTTAACACAACAACAACAACGCCACATTCGCCTTACTCCAGCAACAACAACAACAATAACAAAACAAAATCTATAATGTTATGAAAACTCAAAACATCATAATTTTATTAATATTTTATCTAGCCATCTCTTTCTTACTACTAAAACCAAATGCTTAGCTCTTTTAGCAGGCTCTCTCATTCTTTCTCATTTACTCTATATATGGTTAATATACTCACACCCTTTTTCTGTTAATAAACACACAAACACTTAAACATACTCTCTTGTCTACTCATTTCCAATAACAAAATAAAACTCTCAATTCTCTTTTTGCTACTCAGAAAGTAAATCATCAATGATTATCTACAAAAACAACAACAACAACCATATTATTAGTAGAAGGAAAAAAAACACTAGCAAGAGAGAGTTGTTTATAAACACCAAGAAAAAATACCTGTTTTTATTTATTAATAAACTCATTCATAGTTTGTTAAAAATTTCCTACAAAAAAACTATTTCCGTTTTTGTTATACTTCCGTTTTATTAAAAAATATTAATATTTATTTTAAATAAATAAATTTCTTTTAATAAATAACTTTAAACCTCTCACTCTCTCTCTCTCCCTGTTTTATTTAATAAATAAACCATTTTCCCTTTACTTGTTGTGTAAGTGTGTTGGTGCTTTTTATTGCTTTTTCTTTGTTGTTGCTTTTTTTTAATAATTGATCATAATTCATTCATATCATGTCTTTTGTATAAAAAGCAAACACAACAACAACAAAAACATAACTCTGTAAGCAACTGGTTCCGTTGTATAGTGTCTCATTTACTCTTATAAACTCTCCCCCATACAGCTTTCTCTGTTTTTCTTTAATATTTAATAATTTGGGGTTTTTTTTTGTTTGTTGTGAAGCTATAACAAAGTTTATATTAATATAAAAAAACCCCCCTTCATTTTTATTTGCCTTTTTTTGAGAAAAAAAGCTAAAAAAAAACTCTCTCAAAATTTATTTCCCTGGCAATAATGTTGTTGTTGTTTTGGTATATTTCATATATGAATGTTTTTTCTTGTTTAGTGTTGTTGCTGTTTATTATGAGTTGTGTTTATCATCATAATGTGTATACAATTTTTTTTGACATTTTTCTGTTTTTTTTTTTTTTTTTTGATAGAGGAAAGGTAACCTCCCACTTTCTTAATTATTAACGTTTTTATTGTGGT